TACAAAAAAAAAACAGACCAGAAAAGGTGTAACAAAATATTCGCTACTAAGATAAAATAATACAGTAAATGAAAGCTAAACTAATATTATAATATATATCGCTTAAAAAATCTGTGATAATAAACTCCTTATAATTATATATTTGTTTATTTAGAAATATTACATTCTGTCACATCAAGGACATTTATAATAGTGATCAGAGAAAGCACACTCACACTCTATTTACAATAAAAAAAAAATAAATAATACAGAAACTTAATAATAATAAATACAAAAAAATAAAATAAAAATAAATACAATAAAATAAAATAAATGTATATAAACAAAAGAACTAACCTAATCATACACACTCGGGCTTGAGTGGAGGATCTGGCCATTGCCAAAACTCCAATAGATGCTTATTTACAAAAGGTCTCTGGGCCACTGCCGCTTCAACCTTCGAGGAGGATTATAAGGATGGGTGGTGCTGGATAGAGATTGTGCAAGGGGATTTGGATGATAGGTAAGGTTCTGGTGAAATTTGGAGAATTTTTCTGGAATAAGGTCTAGGACAAATGGGATATTAAGGTCATGGTGTAGGATTTTGTTATTTACATAGAACGGAGCATCAACTATTGTTCGAAGGACTTTAGATTGAAAGGATTGAATACGTTTGATGTTAGAAGCTTTTGCTGTCCCCCACAGTTCAAGTCCGTATGTCCATATAGGTTTCAGTATTGTCTTGTAGATAAGTAATTTGTTTTCAATAGAAAGTTTGGATTTTCTGTTTAGTAGTCTGTATAGCTGGCCGTATCGTCGGTTGAGTTCTTGTCTTTTGAGTCTAGTATGTGGGTTCCACGTTAGTCTTCGGTCTAAATGAAAGCCAAGATACCGGACTGTGTCTGAGTAAGGAAGCTGGATGGAATTAAAGTGTACTGGTGGACAGGAACTGCGTCGGAGTGTAAAAGTAATATGTTGGCATTTAGATTCATTAACTTTAATGCGCCAGTTATTACACCAGTGCTCAATCAAGGTGAGGTGGTTTTGGAGATTTAAGGATGCTATGTTGGGATCAGAGTTGGATGATAAGATTGCGGTGTCGTCAGCGAATGTTGCAAGAAAAGTATCGGGATGAACAGGGATGTCAGCAGTAAAGAGGATGTAAAGCACGGGACCCAAGACGCTGCCTTGGGGAACACCGGCTTTAACGGAGTAGATATTGGAAAATTCTGTTCCACAGCGAACTCGGAAGGAGCGGTCAGTGAGGTAGGATCGGAGGACTAGGTACAAGGACTGAGGTAAATGGATTTTAAGCTTGAAGAGCAGTCCGGAGTGCCATACCCGGTCAAATGCCTGTGCAATGTCCAGAAATGCACCCGAACAGTATTCCTTGTTTTCTAGGGCTGAGGAAATATGATCAACAACTCGGAGTCCTTGTTGAACAGTAGAATGTTGGGAGCGAAAACCAAACTGATGGGAAGGAATATTTTGGGATTCTATAATGGGTAGGATTCGTTTCAAAAGGATCTTTTCAAAAATTTTTGAAAGGATTGGGAGTAGGCTGATTGGTCTATAGGATGTTGAGCTATTGAGAGGTTTTCCTGGTTTTGGGAAGAGGATAATAGTGGAGTGTTTCCATAACAGAGGGAAGTGGGTGGTGCGTAGGATACAATTGTAGATATATGTAAGGAATATGACTGCTTTGGATGGAAGTTGTCGAAGGATTTGAGGTGTAAGGAGATCATGTCCAGGAGCTTTACGGAGGATTAGTTTTTTTAATTGAAATTTTACTTCGGAAGGATGAATAGCTTTTGGGGGCAAGGAAAGTGGGATTGGTGATGTAAGGAGTTCTTCTACTGTTACGGTGTGGGCAGGATGGGATTCCGGATGTGAAATAAATGTATTGGATAGGTGAATGGCGAACTCCTCAGCTTTATCTTCGTCAGATGCTGCCCAGGAGCCATCACCTCGTCGGAGAGGATGGGAAATGCGGTGAGGATTTAGGATTTTTGTTGTGGTTTTCCAAAGGGAATTGTCGCGAGAAGAGAGGGAGGATAGGTAGGAGTTGAAGGATTGTGATCTGAAGGTGGCTAATTCCAGTTTTAATTGTTTGCAGTAGTAATTATAGGAGCAGCGGTCGGTAGGATGTCGGGTACGTTGCCATAATAATCTGGCACGGCGTTTGGTGCGGATTAGGTTAAGGATGTGTTGGGGTAGAATGGTCTTTATAGGAATTCTGGAGGAGTCTTTTGGGAAGGAGGCAGTCCAGGCTGCTTGTTGGATTGTGGTAGTAAAGGAATTTACGGCACTATCAAGGTCATCGGGAGTTTTGAGGGATATGTTGAGATCAATATTATCGGAGATTATTTGGCGGAAAAGGTCCCAGTTTACTGGGCCCCTAATGAATGACGGTGGAGAAGGTTTGGGAACAGGTTCAAGTGAAACATTAAGGATTAGAGGACTATGGTCAGAGGAAAGTTCATTTAGACGTGTAATGGAACAATTGAGGGGACTTAAGCCGCTGTGGATAAAGAAATCAAGAAGATCAGGATTACGGTTGGGATCTGTAGGCCAGTAGGTAGGAGAGTTGGGGGAAAGGAGGTGAAAACGTTGGGAATTGAGTGCAGACAGCAGGGTTCGGCCACGAGAATTCGTGGTTCTGGAACCCCATTGTTGGTGCTTGGCATTTAGGTCTGCACCCATGATGAAGTGATGTCCTAAGGAGTCGAGGAGAGAACTGAATTGGGCATTGGATATGGATCGGTTAGGAGGGCAATACGCTGATGCAAGAGTGACCGGAAAGGAGAAGGTTTTTATCACGATAGCGGTGGACTGTAGGAAATCATGTATTGGTAATGGGAGTACGTGATGGGAGAGGGATTGGTGTACAATTACAGCAGTACCGGCATGTGCTTTTCCGTCAGGGTGGTCAGTACGATATGTCAGGTATTGTGGTATATTGAAGTGTTGTTTAGTGGTTAGTCGAGTTTCAGTAATTAGTGCCACATCAATGTTCTTGTCAAGTAGTAAAGTAGATAGTTCGTCTGTATGATTTCTAACACCATTCGCATTCCAAAGGAGAACGGATATGGGTTTAGGGATGTGAGTCATTTAAGGATTTTTCAAAGGAGGGATGAGGTGAGATACGAGATTCGTGAGGAGTGATATGAGTGGAGTAACAAGGGATTTGAAATCGGTGAGGAAAGATGCTAACAAACTTGTGAGATCTGTTGCATTTGAAGGAGGAGGAATATGAGGAATTTGTTGTTGGTGGTTAGGTATATTAGGATGAAGAGGATTTTGAGGTTGGGTTTGAGGTTGTTGTTGTGGCAGGGCTTGACATTTATCGGTTAAAGTCTTACCTCTAAGTAGTTGGGAGAATGATACATCATTGTTTACAATTCTGGAAGGCTCTCTCTCTCTTCTTGTTCTTAGTGCTTCATCTTGAATCCGGTTTTTCTGGTGTCTGGTTTTGAGATTCTTGTAAATTTGGCAGCCTTTGTAGTTGGCCGGGTGTCCCTCCAAGCATAGGGCACATACTGCTGGATCTTGTATAGGTTTGGTGCACTCTACAGATTTGTGCTGTTCACCGCACTTCACGCAACGCGGCAGATGGTAGCAATATGTCTTCGTGTGGCCATAGGTCTGACAATTATGGCACTGCACGATGTCTCTCTTGGGATATGGCTTCTCAACTTTCACCATTGTGTAGTATATTCTTGTGATATCATATATTTTTTCGATACCTGGTGATGGCTCCAAGTCCACGAAAAACAATGGTAGTGGGATCCTATTTCGTAATCCTGGCTGCTCCCTGTCCTCCTTCAAAACGTTTGTTACCTGGCGTACATTGAAACCAAGCGTCGTTAGTTCTTCTTTAATAACTTCAGTGGGGGTTGAGGAATGTAAATTTCTTATCACTACTCGTAAAGCTCTTTCCTGCCTCAGCTGGTAAGTGTGAAAATTCGCATTTGTTTCTGATAAGTACTTCACTATTTTTCGGTAGGCTTCTGCAGAATCAGGTGTTATTTTGGTGTCATTGGTTCTGTTAAGGCATGAATAACTGCCAGAGCAGATTTTATTTAGTTGGGTGCAGAACATCTGGAAATTTTTTATATTTTTCACAAATATCGGAGGAGGCTTTGGTTCTCTGGGTATTGCTGCAGACTCCATTACTTCTCTGTCATTTTGAAGCACTTGGTAGGGGTTTGGAGTAAAGAAAGGTGATTCTTCAATCGTTTCTTGTGCAGACGTACCTGGTTGGGGCTGAGGTTCTGGTTCTGAAGTGTTCATTTTGGTCACTGGAGGTATTTCTCGTAGGCAGCGACGAGTCCTTTGTTTGGCTGGTGAGCTAACTCCGTCTGACCGAGACCTCTTGGGCACCTTACTGGCCATCACTTGCTGGTCATACCGCATATCATAAGAGAAAAATAAATAAATAAATAAAAAAAAATAAAATAAAATAAAAATTTTTTTTTTTTTTTTTTTCTTAAAATAACAAAAAAAAAAGATGTCAACAGTAAATATCAACTGCTCTGATATACACTTTAACTGTATCACGTGAATAATCAGAGAGATTCCGCTATAAAATTGGTAAAAACTGAGAGAGGAGTTGAGGAGACAACCTTCTCATCAGCTGATCCACTGCCATTCCCTTATAATTAAAACAAAAATAATTAAAGTAAATAATGATTTTTAAAATATTTAAGAAATTTTGAAGTTCGAAATATTTTTAAAACATGATAATTAAAAAGCTTACTTAAAGGAGCAGATATAGAGATTGATGCGACAATTTTCGCACGAAACTCTAAACCATGCTTTATCAAACTATTATAAAAAATAATTTTTTGGGATTAAGAAAAAAAAATCTTCATGATTCAATTTAGTGTTGCAACTAACCAGAAAGAAAGTTTTATCAGGAAGAAATAAATCTTGGCAAGAAATATTATGACAGTGGGCTCTGGTAGTAAGCAGCCCGGGGTTTATTGCCATGGGGGCCCTTGTATCTAGAACCACAAGGATCATGTATTGGGAATTAGGAGATAGTGTTGATGTATTGGAGAGCTTGTGGGCAGTGCTGGTGGATGCGGGCTCTCTACTCCGTCTATAGACCTCTGAGAGTTCGAGGGAGGTGGTCGGAGTCGATAAGGAGCGTCTTCAAGTAGCAAAGATGCTGGTCCGGAGAACATCCTGTGGAAATCTCCAGACAAGACGTCAGCTATCATTTAATGACGCAATGTTTTCAGCTCTTGTTATTTGGTATATCAATTATTGTCCCGATAATCGAATTTTCTTCGATTCGATTTCGCATGGAAAAACTAAGTAGCAATAACTCTTAAGAAAGATTCTTGAAGAAATATAACGCGTTGAATGGGATTCGTGCCAATTTTGCAATACTTGTTTGTTGTGCGTTGATATTCCTTTACTCATGAATGGTTTTTAAAACTAGTTTCATAGGCATAATAGGCAATGAATGAGCAAAGGAAGCAGTAAGAATCTCAAATTCGCTTTATTTAAATCTACTTTCCTCAACGAATGAACAAAAGAAATTACAAGTAAGGTGAATACAATTTGGAAAGAAAAGTGGGAACGTTTGTCATTCAATCACCTGGCCACTATAAAGAGAATAATATTGCTTGGATTCATTAAAAAAATCTCGAATTCATAATTAGCAGACAGAGAATTGGATTTACCAAACTAACTCATCTACATCTGCTTGTATTGCTGCACAGACCAACTCATCAAGTATGTGACAATGAACATCTCACATTACAAATTAAATTAAAATTGAAGACGCCGTACCGTGAAGAAGAAGTGGCATTGAAATGTCTCTTAAAGACTTTAAATCAACGAAATTGATTCATCGTATTTAAGAACAGTCGTCGGTAATGGCTTAGGGAATCGAAGCGACGTTGCATAAAAGCAAAAGTAAATAAAAGCAGATCTCTTTAAATCTATTATTTTAACCATGTTATACAAAATATGGACAGCGTAAATAAATTTAAGTTGTATACATGTATATCACACATACATTGAACATAATAGTATATGAAGGACTTTGACCAGAGGCACTGAGGTTGTTAAGAGTTAGGTTAAAACTTTGTTTTGTGACCGGAAGTAAGATATCAAGTCCATCTCGCGTGGCCTCATAAAAGTCCGTCTTCCGTTGCTTAACTGCGCAAGTTGGTAAGTAAACGTGAGCTAATGCCTTGCTTCCGGTCTAGCAAAAGTACTCTATCTAGTTAGCGGATAATGGAGGGTTCTCATCAGTCCCCATCGTGATATATTGCGAAAATAGTTAACTGATTTCATCACCTTTATATATATATATATATACAGAAAAATATTTTTTTTTTTTGACAAATTTATTGTTGTTCTATACATTATATATATATATATATATATATATATATATATATATATATATATATATATATATATATATATAATGTATAGAACAACAATAAATTTTGTCAAAAAAAAAAAATTATTTTTTCTGAAAACCTATTACAAATTCAACGCCCTAAAATTAAGCATTAATTCCTCTACATTCGAGGCTCATCAATTGGCTAAAATGAAGCTATTATATCGTCTAGAAGGAATCAAATTATTCATTGCTTTAAGGTAAAAATCATTGTTTCTCTCTTATACTTGAAGGTCTTTGTATAATTTAGCGGTAGCTATCTTGGTAAGCGGGATTTGGAAGCCACTTTGAGATAAGAATATTTTCTCACTTAGCCGCCAAAGGTGGAGCAGAGTAAAAATCCATGTTTAATTTTCTTTTCGTTTTGGATAATGCCAGCTTGGACCATTTGCAATCCTTTCTTCTCGCTTATCTGCCACTTCTTGTCTCTGTTATAAGTTATGAATTGAATTCGGAATTTCAAGGATTACGTCTTTTAGGTAAAGAACGTTAGCCAAAAACTATTTTATTTGAATTAGATTTTAAAATAATTTACTATGAATGGAAGGTAATTTACTTTAAACTTCAATTAATCAATCATGTCTGCAAAGAAACATAACTTTATGTTATTGTTGTCATATACACATATTTCTGACGGGATAATTGAGCAGGGATCTTCAAACAACAGCCCGCGTAAGCACTTTCAATCCGGCCTGCAAAAGTTTCTCTGATTGGATGGTAAAATTTTAAAACTACGGAATTTAGCCAAATAATCACACACGAGGTCAATACAACATTTTTCTTCTTTTTTTTTTTCTTACAAAGCTCTATTGTATATCGAGGATATGTTTTATTTACTTCAATTTCAATTAGTTATTATCTATTATTTCATTTTTTCTACACAGATATATTAATTAACTTATTTTATTTTTCTATATTTCTTTTTCTTTATCATCTCTATCTTAGTTATTATTTTATTGTACATATTGTGTGAATGATAAATATAGCCTTAATATTAAGGACCTTTAATGTGGCAGAATGTATTAATATACAACAAAAAAAGAAAACAACTCATTTGACAGCTGAAGTTGAATTTGAAGCGTTTATTGAACAAGATTTTTTTTTTTCATCAGAAGCTATGACCCGCGATACTTGGGGTCCCAATTGCGGACCGCAGAACTTAGTCGAAGTCTCCTAAAAGATTGGAGATTCCAGTCCTTAAAGCAAGTATTATATCAAGAAATATATATGATATCAAGAACAGAAAAAAAAACAAGGAAGAAAGAAAATGATAATGATAATAATATAAAATAAAAAGAAAAGGATATTATAATAAGTAAAAAAAAAAAGAAAATTTCAAAACTAAACTTAAAAAAATAAATAAAATAACATAATACCACAATAGTATAAGATGACACAATAAGTAGCTTATTTTCTTCTTAAACATGCTATAACCATTATGGAGCATTAATCTTGACTTTCTACAGAAAAAATAAATACAAATTATAATCGGTACAGATAGATTTAAATTGTATATCAAACTAACTTATAACGGTGTCATTGCCTTTACACAGTCAACCTTTTTAGGTTGCTAAAGTGAGATGTAGGTACTGGTAATGGTCTCCCTTAATATTCCTAAGCCTTGAAGATGCCTGAATTGGCGAAACATTGGCATATTAACTACCGGTTGAAGGTTGATTGAGACCGCAGTATTTCTTTTGGAATCATCGTTGGAATAATAGTTTTAGTTTTTTTTTTTTCTCTCTTATTAGTCAATTATTTTTTTTAAACTGTTATTTATTAGAGGGGTATGATATGGCATATACTTCTCAATTTTCATTATTTTTAATGGACATCTCGTTTTTTTCTTCTGACCTCCGAATATGTTACCCGAATTGACTTGTTCAATTGTACACTAATTATATTTTCCAGTTTAGGTTTCATATATATATATTTTATTTTTTTTTAACTTCGGCATTGCCGTTGAAGCAAATGAATTCGATCAACTCGAGTAACAGATAGTGGGTCCATTAGTCTTCTCTACACCGATTGGCCTTACACGATGAGGTGATGAAGCACAAACGTGACTGCGAAATATATCTGTGCTAGTTTGCCGGGAGGTTTGAAATAGGTTGAAAGGGGAGACCTCTCATGAGGTCTTGTGGTCAGAATCACATGTGCCTTTCCACGTGTCTCGACATCTTCCAGAACAGATCTTTCCCACTGGAGTACCTCTCCACCATAAGAGTACTTAAAACACTCAAGTTTGGATTTTTAAATTTTTTCCACTGGTGGAAGAGTTCCTTCTACGTCTTGTAGAATTAGACAAAATATTTAGAACAGGGTTTTCTTATGTATATTTTCTATTTATTTATTTTTGTTACAAATCCTATGAATTCCAACTTTAACGAAGTAGTTATACGTATTACATCTATTTGTTAACCAGATGCTAATTTGCAACCAAGCTTTCAGCCATTGATAAGCAATTATTTTCTTATACCATTAGTTAAAAACAAACCTATTCAGAATTGTGAATAATTGACTATCTTATAGTCGAAATTCATAAAACTGGAAAAAAATGACAAAAAACATGTATCAGAACAATCATTTAGAAAACCAAAAAGAGTTTAGTCATTGATGATAACTATTCCTATTTTTATAATATATATATATATATATATATATATATATATATATATATATATATATATATATATATATATATGTATATATTATCCACTAATTGATTTATGTTTAGAAGAAGCAATTTTTTAGAAACTTCTGTTGGTGAAATAAAATTAAAACCTAAATATATATTTTCTCTCATTCATTGATTACCCTTTAATCATTTCTGAAAAAAAAAAAAATAAATAAATAAAGGCACCATGATCTGGAGTTCGAACCTGCGACCTTAAACATTGGAAGCTGAGGTCCTACCACTGAGTGTCCATCTCTCTATCTAATGCTTTCTTTATTTTACTGAAATGCACGCAACTTCTATAATTGGTTGTTTTTCACTATTAACTTTTTCAGAATAAATATGTGTTTCTAAATAAAACGTATGTTCATTATAAATATAGGTTTAATCACCTTTTTAGTTTTGATAAAATGAAGAAAGTTTTATTTAAAAAAAAATTATAATGGTAGTTCAAATAAAAAAAGTAATTTGTTTATAGTGACAGTAAAATAATTGTTTTAAAAAACTGAGTACCAAAAAATTTAATTATCACTTTGGTTTATGTCATACCATTAACCGGAGTAGTGATTCAGTTTAAGTAAAATACTTGGTCCTCGGTACCAAATTAGCATTTGCCCATCTATGATTTTTGTATCTTTTGAAGAAAAAAAACTGAATTTTTACATACGACCTTTAGGACTAATAGTAGCGGTGTGTGTCATTATCGATACTTTTCTATAGGGTTTCACAGCGTTTAATGTTATATTGATATAGAACGTTTATTATTGAATTTCCTTTTTTTTTTTTTTTTTTTTTGTTTTTTATTAAATTAACAAAGTCTTTCTCATAAGACATTTTGTCAGAGCTTTATCACATTTTAATAATTCTGCCCCTCAGCGCCCAAAATGAAAAGGAATAGTAATTACCTACAAAGGAGAATTTTAATTAAAATTTCGCTTTTATTTCTACTCCCTTCTCTCCCTCCCTCCTCCTCCCATCCACTTTCTTTTCTCTATTATTTGTCCCCTTAAAAAAATATCCTTTATGAAAGTGTTTTTAATAAGGACGGGAGTTAGGGGATAAAAAGGAATTTCTTTCGAGTTTCTCCGTTTGTTTCCCTTTACCACTCTCACTCCTCCTTCCTCCTCTTTGGCTTAAAAAAATAAGAGGATGTGAATTATTAATCAGTTTTGACTTTTATTCGAGTTAATTACGACAGGAGGAGGAGAGAATGACAGAGAGAAAACAATCTGCCGACCGGTCCTAACTAAACTGAGATAAATTGTGTTCTCGAGGACCCTTTGAGCTGCTATTCTTGGCCCACGTTGAGAGCTTTAGGTAAATCACCGCTGATGTAGGCTCTCAAAATACATCGCTTCTTTGTATTCTCATCTTCCATTACTTATTTGTATTTCCCTCTTTTACCTCTGATGTATTATTGTTCTTATTTGTTAAGCCTCCTTTGAAGAGCTCGTAAATGATGTGCTTCCTGAGAAAATATTTTTTATATGTTTTGATTTATTTTATTATATTTTAAAAAGACCACAACCAACTAAAATAAAAAAAATAAAAAAAGGACAAAGTAGGAAAGATCAAAGAGGCCAAAAAATATACCTCCTTCTTCCTCTTACGAATACTGAATACGAACAAGGAAAAAACAATTTCAAGTCAGTTGTAAGGAGGACCTCAAAAATATTATTTACACAGAATCGTGCCATGATCTCATGATGTGAGGATTATAAAATCAAATCGAAAACTAAATCAACCCTAAAGGCTTTAAAATTAAATTCAAATTGAAAATAATGTTGGAAGTAATGGCACTATTTTTTTCAACTGCTAGCAGATATTTTAAATTTTACGAATTCCAACTACTATCACTTAAAAGAGAGTGTCATGGCGCATTATGCAGGAGCCAAAAGTTTTGAGGGAGCACATTTTTATTGGGAGTAGATGTTCGAGGTGCACATTTTTACGGATATTTGAGGAATACACACTTTTACGAAGTTATAAGTTTAGCTTTCCAATGAGGAAAAACATGAAACAGATCACAGCAAGTGTAATTGTTTATTAAGAACTCTTTTTATGACTCTACATTTGCTTGTAATTAGTGTTGCCCAAATGCGAAACCGAGACGAGTCTTGGTCTTGCAAACTCACTCTTGGTCATAGTCTTGGTCTTGCGCAAGAGTCTTGCAGTTACTTATTATCTTATTACTATAGAAATATTACAGTAATTTTTTAGATACGAGAAACCTAAGTTAGCCCAAATGAAAAATTAGAGGAGTTAAATGCAAAAGTATATTGGTTATTCCAATTATTAACATATAGTAACTAAGATTGTCAAGTATTAGTAACTATCTTGCTATAATTTTTATTTTAAAAATCAATTTTTTTACCAGTCCTTGTCTTGGTCTTGCAACAGTTAGGCGGCCTTGGTTGATTGCCTTTCTCTGATGTATTCTCAAAGAAATTATTTGATTTCTCAAAGAAGTTTATCATTCATGAACTGGGCGAGAGCTAACAAGCTGAATTTGATTGTAGAAAAGACGAAGGCAATCTTAATAGGCTCCAAACACCTTCTTAAAACTTGCCCTAATATTCCAACTCTGTTCCTACATGATAATCCCATCAAATTCTATCCCTCCAATGCAAAGTGCAAGACCAAGACCGGTTTTGAGTAACACTACTTGTAATAGTTTTAATTAGAGTATTACAATAAAATTACTAGGGAGAGGGGGAATCATTTGTTTATCTATTTATTTATTTGAGTGTTTCGACCTCTGGGGTCATTTACACTGAAGTCTGTTTCGATACTTGTAATTAATTCAAATTTTATTATATATGTGAATAGTTTTAAAAATTTAATAAGTCGTGAAGTCGTGTCTGGGTCCTGCCTCAATATATAAATAGGAAGAATCATACGTTACCGCCCTTAGGGGGGGGGAAGATAATCACCCCTGACCACTAATATTAGATATAAAAAAATGTTATTGTCCTTCATAGCTTTATATATTAGTAATGCACTATCATTTGCTATTGTATGACCACCTAATAATAAAACTAAACTAATTTTTATAAAATATTCAAAATGGTGCTTCAGGCTACATTAGCAGGTAATATGAAATTCAATTTCTTTTTCTAATTTTTATTAATAGGTTTGTTCTTTTTTAAAAATTAAGTTGAAATCGAAGATAAAACAATGGTAAATAATTTAAAAATTCAATTTTTAACTTTACTTTTTCTCCATCCACGGAGCAGCTTCTTCGAAAGTCTCATTCATTGTGATTCTTTTTTCAGCTTATATATTTTTGCTTCTCTGAAGTAATTCTTAAAGTAGATCTTAGTAAAGAAAGACAGGGAAACAAGTCTTCATATTACCAGCTTTTTCATGCGGGATTTGATATACCCCGAAGGAAAAATGTATAATGAAAATTTACAATAAATCAATTCAACCCCATACGTGATGCGGATACCTAATATTTTTTTTGAAAATAGAACAGAAATAAAATAACTCATCATCTCAAAGCTTTAAAACATTAAAAAATATCCAACTTCTAAACAATGGTGTTATTGTTTATTAGTTGAAGATTGGAGCAGGTTCTAGTTCATCAAGATATCATAGTCAAGATATCAAGGAGTTCCACTAAGAAGGCTGGATTCCATATTACCACCACTTGGTCAGGACCATCTGGATAGAGAATCTGTCCATTATAATGTGCATATGCGCAGACTTCACATTTTGATTGGGGACGGGGAGAGGTGAGGGACAAAAAACAATAATAATAAATAACT